CCCCCTCCAAAAAAAAATAAATAAATAGCAGAGGAATTTGTAATTAATTCAGAATGTCATTTGTAAATGCACCTGTGGGGCACTGCCAAATAAGTCCTCTGGAGTCGAAGTACACAATAACACGAGGTCCACATCATCAGGAGTAACCCCTGCCATTTCGAGAGCTTTCTTTGATGCCTCTACAGCCAAACCTGTTAAACTATCTTTTCCTGCAACATATCATGGAGATGCCAAAATAAGCCATGTTTGGTGTGTAATATTTGTTAAACTTACTACAATCTCTGCTCTTTGGGAGCAAATTGTAATTTCAAAAACAAAAAAGATTGATCTTTTACAAGTACTAGCAATCTACCTATAGTTGCATAAATAAGGCGAGCAATTTTAAATTTTCATATACAGGTAATTACTAGAAATTAACCTTAAATTATACGAAAAAGTTGCATAGGGAACACACCAGAAACTATTCTTCGATTCCGGATTCCAGTTCGTACTGATATCCATTCATCATTAGTGTCAACAATTTTCGAGAGGTCATCATTGGATATCTGGAGACTTGGTACTGCAGACCCACAACCAACTAACTTGCAGCCTCTGCTTTCAAGCCTACGAATTTATCGAGATTATAAAGGGGTCAGAATGAAAATTCAAAGTTAACAATCTTTGCACAACATGAAGGGTACATGATAAGCACAACAGTATTAGATGCACACGATATATTTGGTAAAACTAGTTGATAGCTGATAAGTTAACTGATAGTGAATTTCGAGCTTATAGGTGATAGTTTATGACTTATGGCTGAAAAACTAGCTAGTATGATAAAAGTGTTTGGTAAAATAGTTAATAAGCTATCTGAAATAAAAATTTCAACGGGCTTATTTTGAAAAGCTACCCAAATAAGCTTATGAGATAAGCTCGAGCTTTTTACAAAAGTTCGTCCTACCAAATAAAGCTTATTTGTAACCAAAAAAGGCTTATAAACTAACCAAATAAGCTATAAGCTAGCTTATGGTGCTTACCAAACAACCCGGCATGCAGTTTTAGCATATAACTCCATAAGGACATGTATTTTTTTAGATTACCATTTCATTGAACACGCGTAGTTACCAAGTGAATAATAAAACCAGCTAGACTATTTATCCAGAACTGGTTTGTCATACATAAATTGTGCAACAAAAGCCCTGAAGAGAACAGGCAACACCATTTACCAGCTCAAATTATCAAAACTATAAATATAAGATCTTTACTATGAAATCTGCTAGTCTACCTGAACGTTATGGCTCGGAGACTAATATTATCTATTCTGTTGTTTCTTTTAATTATTTTTCTCTTTCTTGTTTCCTTCTTTTTTTTTTAGGGGTTTTGGGTGTGGGGTGGCGGATTAAATATGCACTAGAAGAAGAGGTAAAATTAGCCCAACATAAAGAGAAAACAGCAATGGAGGAGAAATTTCCCTGATCATGCATACAGTTTTCTCGTTCTTTCATATGGATATATTGGCCAAATTAAGTACTATGCAGGTGAAGATAACATGTAGCTCAAAATTGAAAATTACAACAAATATGAGAAGTCCCATTAAAATGTCCTTGATAGCTGTAACCAATGTGCACATGCAAATCTGGGAAAGATACAAAAATCAACCGTCTTCAACAACTTCGTTGCAGAAAAGAGGCAATCTAAAATCTTTCCCAGTAAATGAATTTGAAACCATTAAAGGAAGACCAGCCACAACAAAAGGAACAAAGGTAGCAAGCTCTATTCTTAAGCTACTGCCTGAATCCAATTCAAAAGGATATAAACATCTGCTATTAAAGAATCCCTTTGACGCTACAGAAGTAGCTATGCTCCAATTAGGCAATCACCTTCGTAAGATGGATGTAAGGGATTGGGCATCCCTAACACCTGACCTACACAAAATCACGAGAAATCCGAACCTACGGGTTTTTTTTAATGTTGTGAGTGTGTGATCCAACGGCTAAAAATGTAGGATCTCCCAAAAGTGCATAAAAAATCGGAGAATGAATTCAGTAAGAACACAATTCATCCAGCTATCACAGTTTAAAACACACTACCTGTAAAACTAAACCACATCCACTACAGCCCACATAAAAAATAAAACCCAAGATTTGAAGTTTAAGACAAAAAATTCAAAGAACGAATTTTCCCAGAAATTAATTACCTTGGAGCTCTCGAATCAGAACCGGAGAGCTTCTCCGCGCCATGAGTGGTGCCGGAGCACACTGTTCTCCTGGTCGCGCCTTCAGAGAACCAAAACCCAAATCGATAAATGCCTATCGACGGAGAAAATCTCCTCCCCACACTGTGCGCCGCGGGAAAATAAATCCCAGATGCATTCGCCATTAACTGATTTATATTATTATACGGAATTGATAAACAAGTTGGTATCTTTCAGCTGATTGACACAATAATGGAGCCCAATAAATGATTACAGGATTTTTCTGAAAAGTAGAAATAATGGGCTTTCAAAATTGAAGGCAAATTGGAAGAAGAAGAAGAAGAAGAAAAATGGACGGAAAAAACAATGAATTTTATTATACTAATCTTTGGGGTTATCTGAAATTAGAACAAAGAAACAGACAAAATGAGAAAATAATGAAATTGATGAAAGCTGTGATGGGAGAAACTCAGGTACACTCATGCAAATGCATGTAAGGAACAGATTGAAATGCAGAGATCTCTCTTTCCCTTTTGAAGAGAGGGAGCGACTCTTGTCACTCATGCATATTTGCATATGTATCCTCCAGATTGAAACTTATTCTTACCCACCATTCAGAAAATTGAGCTTCTTTTTTAAATATAAATAATATTTTTTCTGATCCCACTTGAACAAAAAATAATAACTTAGATTAGAGATAATTATTTTTGTTTTGAAAAAGTTGATTGAGTAAGTTTGAGATGGATTTTGAATTCGTATTAAATTAAAATAATATTTAAAATATAATGACTAAAATTTATTTGATGCAACGTATAAAAATAAAGGGGGGTGACTAGTTGTTAAAACTTAAAATTATGTGGTCGCATGAATAGTGAATTAAAGTTCATATAATGTGTAATGATATTTGATTGATATTATTTAATTATATTGGTAGAAGAATTGAATTTGAATTAGATTTTGAGTTAAAAAAAATTTCTAGTCAAAAGTGGCCAAAGACGCTCGAATTTGGGCTCAAATGTATCAAGTCAAATAGAACTCAACTCGTTAATTAAAAATATCAGCCAATAACATCAACGAGTCGGACTAAGACAAAAATTCAGACTTAAAGGCCCCTTATTCGATCCTTAACAAGCATTAACAAGTGGAGTGGAGTTGAGCTCGTCATGGCTCGTTAACTCAACAAGTTTTAAACGAGATTGAATTGAACTGAACAAGTTTACGAACAACTCGTCATTTAACCGCTATGATAGGGACAAGACGGACAATAGTAAATTACTTTATGTTCATCTAAAATTAAACGTCAATAAAATATAATGCTTCTAATAGATATTGAAATTTTGCAGAAATTTGGAACTAATCATACCACTTCTAGAATATAATGCTTCTAATAGATATTGAAATTTTGCATATTTGGAACTAATCTTACCACTCGTAGAAAGAAAAAATCATGTTAAAAACTAGGCTAAAATGCACACTAATCATAAACAAGTAGAGTTTTAGTGGAAAAGACAATCTCTATTCTTTGTACCAAAATCAGAAGCCTCCATTCAATGCTGCTTTAATGAACCACTATATTAGCTGTACCACAAAAGTACAGTAAGGTCCACGCACATACATTCATGTTGAAGGTTAACGGAATTTTAATCCTGATTAAGAAGGTATATATATTCCTTGAGCATTTCTAAAAACTTTGAAGATACTTTGATCCAAGACTTTTAAAGTGAGTTGCTTTTGTGAACTTTGTGAAATTTTAATGACTTTGATAGATCTGGTTCATAATATTCTTATCATACATTCTTTAAAACTTTCATAAGGTGCGTTTAGTTGGAATAATTAGGCTTGATATTCTGTCATTTGTTAATATATCAATTTGTTTATTTTGTTTGGTTATTAATGTATAGCCTGTGAAACTCACAAAAGCAAGATTGCTTTTCTCCTTTTTTTTGTTATTCTGTATTTGACCCTTGTTGTGGGATGATGTATCATTTATCATCCAATCATTAAAACACCCAAAACGTGCATTCCTGCCTTCTCATCGACGCATCCCCATCCCTGTTGGTCCACCGTGGAGACCTCCACCCTCATCGACGTCTAGCGCGACAAGTGGTACTCGCTTCGCCGCAGCAACCTCCGCGCCAACCACTGGCCGACGCTACCGCCGACGTCGCAACCCTCGGCCCCGCCTCCCCACCGAAGATCCGCGTCGAGTGCCGCACAAGATGGAGAAGATCAACAAGCGCTACTGTGCTGTAATCCAGCGCGCCGCCGCCACCCCTCCTACCTCGTCGTAGAGGTAAATCTCTTAATACCGTCGACGCCGTCAATTTTTCCGATTCAATCAATTTTTGTTGTTGGGCTTTTTTCCTTCTCAATTTTATTTTTTTATAATTTTAGGACAAGAAGGTGAGTTAAAAGATTTATTGAATCGTGGCCCTTTTGTGTGATTAGGTTTTGGATTGATTTTGTGCCTTGGCCTTATGTTTACAGAAAAAGGGCCACAAGATTCAACGAGTCGAACTCGACTTGAGCCTTATGTTCGTTTACTAAACGAGTACAAACTCAAACACGAGTTACCCGTCTCGATTGACACTCATAATCAACTCAATTATGACATATTGATATATTTAAATAAAAAAATATGCTGCAATATTAAAACATTTTTGCTCGACTTAGTCTTTCTCCCGCTATGGGGCTTCAATGATAGGTTCTGAACTAAACGATCTATTTGGTTAATACCTATTGACAAGCTCCTATGTTCATTTTATTCCGATATCTCTAACGAAGTCCCTGACTAACAAAGATCTTATAGATTTTTGTTATTATTTGTAAATATTTTTACAAGACACAAATATTATCAAAATACAATAAATGTATTTTCTAAATTTTTAATAGCACACATAATCATTCCATATCAGCAAATAAACTCTTGGCAAATTAAACAAACATTAAATTTAAAAACTCAAATTTACAAACAAAAAATAAAGTGCGAATTCTTGCCAGGTGCAAATCATACAAATATTTAATATTTGAAAAGTCAAATCAACAAGCAAACGAAATAGATGATAAAAGTAAACAGTAAACACACATAAAGTAATTGTTATAGTTGTTTTTACCAAAGTCAATGAGAGAGAATCACACTGCTAGCCGGCTACATGGATTATTTCGTACGTATATTCACAAACAAAAAGGTGAAATAATCAAACACTTTAATTCAAATTAATTGGTTTGATTTTTTTTCTTTTTTTCTCTAGAAACTAATGATTCCAAGAAATGTAAAACTTAATTCCCAACATTCAAACAAGTTACAGATACGAAAAAGAAGTTAGGGAGTCAGCGATAATTGCTTATGGCTCCAAACGCAAATACCAAACAATCAATTATTTGGTTAAAAGGGTTTGAATAACCTACATGTTTAGAGATTTATCTCTAATAACTTTTCGTAACAAGAGAACATACATAAACAACAAACTGACAAAACCAAATAGCACGTAGGTAATACAGTTACGAACAAGCCAATCCTAAACGAGCCTAGTCACGTAATTGGTGCCCTTTTGGTTCTTAGAGTTATTTAATTAGATTGCGGTGATCAATCGACTAACCTTAAAAATCAAACAACTCGCATAGAATGAACAACACAAAACCGCAAGAATCACAAGAACCAGAACAATCTTCCAACATTTGAATTTAGCTCATCGTATCGGAAATAACACCACTAATCATATGAATAAAAGAAATCACATCTATAGACAATTTATTTGAGTTGATGAATAGTGTATTTTGTTGATTTGATGTATGATGATGATTATTAATATTATTTAATTGCATTGATAAAATGTAGGAGAGTTAATTTGGATTAAAGTTAAATTGAATTTTGAATAAAGTTTAAAAAAAAATACAACAGGTAAAAAATTTTGGTATTTTGAGTTTCAATTGAATACACTAATTATACTTACACTTTCTAATAATTTCAATAACCTGAACAAATATTAAAAACTAATTATACTTACACTTTCTAATAATTTCAATAACCTGAACAAATATTAAAAAGTCTTGTATTAAAGAAAAAAAATTCAGTCTAATCTCAAACAGATACACAATCCCAAGTCCCGAGGATGCTTGGTTACAAAAATTAAAAAAAAAAAAATCTAAATATTTTTAATTTTACTATTTTTTAAACTCAATTTTAACTCGTTCACACTATTATTTTATTAATGTAATTAAATAATATCAACCAATCATTCTTTCATACCACGTCAACTTTAATTCATTATTCATCCACTCACATTATTTTAACTAATTATCACTTTAAATCATCTTTATTTTACTTTTACATCAAATCAATAATTATTTTATTTTAAATATTATTTTAATATACCAACTAACAACTAACTATACCATATTTTTTAAAATTAACCAAACTAAATCAAAAAAACCAAAAACTAAATTTTTTTATATCCAAGCATAATTTCCAAATTTATTTATTCAAGTGAAATATTTTAAATAAACATGAGTTTTGATGGTGGGTGTAACGTGTTTGAAATCGTAGTAAATATTACAAATTTTTAATAAATTTCAGTATTATATAAGATAAATACCTAACGACATTTTTTTTAAATCTAATATTTAGTGGTAACTGTAATATATTGTTAGAGTAAAAGTTATTTTTCCCCTTTATATGGATTAATTGGAATGATAATTATATTTTCATTGCTGAAAAATAGTCGGGGATAAAAAGTATTAATTTTTATTTAATATACACCGATGTTGTAAAAATAATAATCAATTAGATAGAAAATTGTAAAATAATGTATTCTAGTGATAAAAAGTAAAAACATTAATAAATGAATAGACGATTATATGGATACATATTCATATTTTATTTTAATTTAAAAAGTTTATTTGAATGCAACATAATAAAACTATTATCCCTAGAATTGTCCAAAAGGGGGGAAAAAAAGAGACGAAAATGAAACCAGAGGAGCTCCTCCGCAACCCCCTCCCTGCCCCGCCGCCCAAACTCACCGTCGGCTGCCCCCTCCTCGACCGCCTCCTCGGCGGCGGCGTCCCCTGCGAGTCCATCACCGAGATCGTCGCGGAGAGCGGCACCGGCAAGACCCAGCTCTCCCTCCAGCTCCTTCTCGCCGCCCAGCTCCCCCCCTCCCGCGGCGGCCTCGGCGCCTCCGCC